CTCTCTCTCTCTCTCTCTCTCTCTCTCTCTCTCTCTCTCTCTGCGGAACTGGAGATTGAACTCAGGCCCTTGCACTTGCCAGGGAAGGAATAAGTGCCCCTGGGGGAATTTGGGTGAAATCAACAGGTTAGGGCATTATTCAGTGGAAGAGGACAGACTATGGCACCGCTCCAACAGTGCAGTTTCTCTTTGCTTTCTTCTCTTTCTCCTTTTCTGTACCAGGGATCAAACCCCAGGTTGCATTCTTGATATGGGGGAACTGAAACTCCCAACCTGAAAGGTACCTGGGACGAGTTCGTGTTCTCTATAACCAAAGAATGAATTTTAGGAACAGGGGTTAAGAGCAGAATATTTCTTGGGGGGAAAGAAAGCTTCTCTCCGAGAGGGACAGAAAGGGGGCCCTGAGCCGGTTGTCAGGACCCTTTCTCTTCCAGGAATTTTAGAGTAAAACCATGCAGTGAGGTGGGTCTAAGGTGGAGAACATGGGAACTCACTTAGGTGGGCATGAGGTGGGACAAACTGTGGTCAACCAATGAGATTACAAGCACCATTGCTCAGTAAAATTGATTAGGTCCAGGATCAAATGAGGAAGTGAGTCGAGCAGCAAGTGGGCATGAATACAGAACAAGAGTTTATCCAGGAGCCAGGCAGTACCGGTTGGACTAGTGACTCTTCCTGGCTTCCTCAAAGTGATGATCAATCCTGGATGCTTGTCTTTAGGGAGGTCAGCATTTGTTCGATCTTAGGTCTGTAGGTCTGGCCCACAGCAGAGGCATCTGTCTCTCTCCAAGTTGCAATGTATCTTATTTGCAGTGCTGGTTTTTTGAGGGCCTGGCCCTGTCTGCCTTTAATATTTCTATCTAACTTGCTGCCTGCAACACTATCACTACGCTCTCAGTCTCTTTTGCTTTGAGATGGGTCTTGAGAATTTGTTCCTATTGGCTTTGCATTTGTGATCCTTCTGCCTCAGCCTCCACAGCATCTGGGATTACAAGTGTGCATTCCTGGCCTTTCTGCTATTACTAGTCAACTGGTGAAAATGATTAATTTTTTTTTTTTTTTTTTTGCATTTAGTACAGGGTCTGCAGGATGTTGAAGGTCTCACTACTACATCAGACTTGTAGTGATTCACCTGTTTACAGCTTCCCAAGAGCTGGGATTACAGGCACACCACCACACCCAGTCTCCATTTCCATTTCAGGACACCTCAGGGTGGAGCCGGCAAGGTAGGCCGAGGGATCGAATCCCGGTTCCTGTTCCTGCTTGCAGGCGCTTTAATCTGCTGAGCTATTTGGCCAGTCCTAGTTATTTATTTTTGAGACAGGGTCTTGCTATGCAGTTCAGGCTGGCCTTGAGCTCACTCTGTAGCCCCTCCTGCCTCAGCCCTCCAAGTGCTGGGATTACAGCTCGCCAGGCTGCAATGTTAACATTTTTAATCCACCTGGAGTGTATTTATACTCAGCCAGTGTCTGGTTTTTCTCCCAGAAAACAGCGAGGAGGTGTTGCCTAGCAGCCTCCACTTTGGTTGGAGTTCAGGTTCCCCACTAGACAGAAAACATCTGTAGTCTTCTAAATTGATCACGGAGTGTTGCGCAGTAACCGCCTTTCAGACGACGCGATTGGCTGCTCCACACGTTCCTTCCCCAGTCTGGAGCGCCAGAAAGAACAGAATGAGCAATTTAATCTCTCTGTTGGAAAACAAGGGCCGCGTTCGTGTTGCCTAGCAACCACGTCTCCCTCCCCCGCCCCTGGAGCGGGAGTCCCACTAGGCGCCCCGCTCAAAGATGGCGGTCGAACGTGTTTTTTTCTATTTATTTGGTTCTAGACAATTTCTACACTAATTCAGTACCTCCCACGAGATATTCGAAGAGGCTCATTATGCCTTGCGTGAATATTCACCCTGTGGAAGGAAAAGAGAACGAGAAGAAGCGCCGAAAACGGCGCCGGCCGCCCTGCACAAACATGGCCGCCCGCGCGCCCGCGGAGCCCCGCGCACGTCCGGCACGCGCGCACGCGCACGCACGGCGTACTTCCGCTCGTTCCCAGGGCGCGGTGGCGGCGCTGGCGGTGGCGGCTCCTCCTCGGGGAATGGTTCCCGGGTCCGAGGGCCCGGCCCGGGCCGGGGGCCTGGTGGCCGACGTGGTGTTTGTGATCGAGGGCACAGCCAACCTGGGGCCCTACTTCGAGGGTCTGCGCAAGCACTACCTGCTCCCGGCCATCGAGTGAGTCCGGTCCCGCGGGGCGCCCTCCCCCCGAGGTTAGCTGGCCGCGCGCGGCCCGTGCCTGACGCCGCTTTTCACTCCCGTCCTCCCAGGTATTTCAATGGTGGTCCTCCTGCCGAGACGGACTTCGGGGGAGACGTGAGTGTGACCCGGAGGCTGAGGAATCTGGGGCTGGGACACCCGGGTCTCGAGAGGGGGCTGGGCCCAGATTGTGGGTCCTCAGGACCCAGGCTCAGGGCTGGATGGAAGGAGTTGTGAGGAGTTTCTGGTGCTTGGTTAAGAGCAGCAGGAAACCGGGAGCTCCAGCTTCTTTCCGGTGGGAAAACGTTCGCGTCAATGATTAACACTAACTGTGCCTTCTCACCCAGTATGGGGGTACCCAGTACAGCCTGGTGGTCTTCAACACGGTGGACTGCGCCCCGGAGTCCTACGTGCAGTGTCACGCTCCCACCAGCAGCGCCTATGAGTTTGTCACCTGGCTTGATGGCATTAAGTGAGCTTTTCTCCACACTTGGGCAATTGGGGGACCCTGTGGAAGAGGGGGAGGCCGGGAGAGTGGCGGCTAGGGCTGGAGCTGCAGGAGCTGTTAACTCGCCTTGGGTGGCTGAAGGGACTGTGAGGGCGGTTGTGGTTTTTGTTCCTGCCCTGCCCCCTGTGGCGATTTCCTGTCCTCAGCAGTGTTGCCAGCCCGTTGTGAAACGGAGAAAACTTCGTGCTGGGGAGACTTGGTTGCGCTCCAACAGCTGCCTTGTGTTCTGTATGTGCTTCTTCTCTGTCCCTTCCTGCCCTGTCGTTTTGTCCCCTTTCAAGTAGTGACTTGACCCCTAAATGCAGAGGGGTGACCTCTCTGTGGTTTGGGTTGGGATTGTTATTAGTATAAAATTAGCTATGTGTTCCAGTGTAACAAGTTACCCGAAGTTACTGAGTTCAGGAGTGGTGAAGCTGGATGGTGTAGTGCAGGATCTCCCTTGTGCCTGCATCATCAAGGGCTGAGCAGGGCCCAGGAGGGCTGGGGCCTGGACAGGCAGGAGGAATCTGCTTCTCTGCCTGTTGGCTGGAAGCCAGCGTTCTGGGGGAGCCACTGAGTTACTGATCTGATTCGGAGAGAAAGAGGAAGCCAACAGGCTCATTGATGATTGTGAGTTGGAAATGACACACCATCATTTTTGCCACATGGCGTTTGGTGTAGAAGTTGGCCCTATTCTGGGTGAGAGGGGCTTTGCTTGAAAACCAGGAGGTGGGATTGTGGGGGTGTTCTGACTCTGACAGTGAAATAAGATAGGTTGTGCCTGGCACATAGGAAATGCCCTGTAAGCGTTTCTCATGTTTTTAATGCCTCAGTTTCCTAGTCAGCAAATGGGTGATGGAATTGTGGCTGTCAGTGTTGTAGGAAAAATCACAGGAGGAAGTGTTTGTACTGTGCAGGGCATGGTGAATTCACCACTTCCGAATTCAGTAAGTGCAGCAGGGATTGGGGCCTGCCCGGACTTGGATGGACTCCATGTGGGTGCCCAGCACTTCTGGGTGTGTGCAGAGCCCACGATAGAAAACAGACACCTAAGTTTTCTTCTCATGCTCCGTCTTGGTGTTTTACTGCTAGTTGATCGGAATATGGTGGTCTTGCTGGATTTCCTAGAATGGTCCCAGTTCCACCGTCCCCAGCCTGCTGCAGAGAGAGAGAGAGAGAGAGAGAGAGAGAGAGAGAGAGAGAGAGAGAGAGAGAGAGAGAGAGAGGGGAGAGAGAGAGACAGAGAGACAGGAGAGAGAGGAGTTTCAACATTGTTATGGTGCTGGGAATTGAAGCAGGGCCCCTCACGTGATAGGTGAGTGCTTTACCTCTGGGCTACATTCCATGCCTTCCAAGATCTATTGATCTTTTATTTTCTTTCTTTCTTGCCATGTTGGGGATAGAATTTAGCACTCTATGATGGAACCACATTCCTGCATTCCTAACCTTATTTATTTTTTGGTGGAACCGGGGATTGATTTCAGGCCCTTGCACTTGCCAGACAAGCTCTTACTCTATTGAGCCATCTCCCTGGCCCCTATTTTTTTAATTTTTTCACTATGAGACAAGGTCTTGCTTAGTTGCTAGAATTGTCCTCAAACTTGTAATCGTCCTACCTCAGTCTCTTAAAGTGACCTAGACTACAGGCATGTGACATAAATACTCAAAAGGCTACACAAGACTGTCTTTGGGGTGGGGGAAGGGCCAAGCGCGATTCCATGTACTGTGGGAAAAGGGAGCTCCTGTCCAAACACCTTAATCCTGTGTCCGCCCTGCTGCCTCACTCAGGATGTTCCATACTTGGAAGTGCACAAAGGCTAGCTGTGTTCTCAGTGCGGAATCTTTCAGGTGAGCTGATAAATGCTGTCAGCTATTGTTTACTGTTTCCCAAGGTCACTGTTTTGGTTTAGTCTGTGCAGCTGTATGAATTAGGAGGCATCTGGCATTCCACGGTGTGTAGTGGGGACTACAGGCAAGTGGTCTTGATGCTCAGTGGGAGAAATCTTCTCCTGAGAAGTTGGAAATTTAAGGAGGAGGAGTGCAACATGCTTTCTTTTTGTTGACATGTCCTTGCTTTCATTGTGCATTTGCTTTCTAGCTAGTAGCCTAGGATCAGAAAAAGTAGAGATGGATGGAAGTCGACCTGAGTGTCTTCCTCTGTAGTTTGTTCATTCGTTCAGTTTTATGTTTGTGCACACCAAGTCGTTAGTGGGTAGGCAGCAGTCGAGGTCTGACCCATGTGGATCTGTGTGTGTTCGGGTGCCGATGTGGTACGCAGGAAGTCTGTGGTAGGACTGGTTGTTGCTGTGTCCTGGGGCGTTCCAGTGTGGTGGCTCAAGAGTGTGGTAATGGGGGGACGGAGCCAGCCAAGTACTAAGAATTGCTGGGCGTGGTAGCTCACGCCTGTAATCCCACTACTTGGGAGGTTGAGGGAGGAGGGTCGCTGTGAGCTTGAGGCCAGTCAGGCAGGGTTCCGTAGTGGGTTCAAAGCTAACCTGAGCTGCATAACGAGACTGTGTTACCAAAGAAAAAGCACCGAGAGTCATTGCAGCTGTCATCTAGAGGGCTTTATTTTAATTACTTTTGCACTGCAGCTAGAGGGAATTAAACCCAGGGTCTCAGGTATGTTCGATAAGTGCTCTGCCACTGAGATGGGGCTGGGGACATAGCTGTGTGGTAGTGTGTTTACTTAGCGAGCCCAAAGGCCTGGTTTGCTCCCGAGCCCTGCCAAATAAATAAGACAAACTTGTAAATTTGAGCTTTGTTTGCCGCTGGACATATTTTCTTCCCATTTTCAGGTTTTTCTCATCTGTTTGACAGTATTTGTTGACTGTCTTTTTTGCAGTTGGTAGCGAAACTTAGAGTTGAGTTCAATAAGAAGAAAGCAAGCTTTAGGGTCTTGTAGTGGGCAGTCTGTCACACTTTTCCTAAGTTTTATTTTTTCTGACTTGCCAATTAAGAATTGAACCCAGGGTGAACAAGTGCTCTGCAGCTGAGCTGTATCCCCAGCCCTTTCTAGTTTCTAATATTTTATGATAGTCTCACTCAGCTGCTCAGGCTGGCCTCAAATTTGTGGTCCTCTTGCTTCAGTCTCCTGAGTAGCTGGGATGACAGGCACATACCACTATATCCCCTCCCCTTTTTTGGACAGTCCTAACCATGTAGTTCAGGTTGGTCTTGAACTCACTGTAGCTCAGGCAGGCCTCAAAGTTATGGTGATCAAAGTTAAGTGTATTATTTGGTCTTATTTACTGTGTTCACAGTGTTGTGCAATACTATGTCTGTCTAGTTGCAAAAACATTTTCATCACACTAAAAAGCGTGGGGTGCACACCTATAATCCCAGCATTCAGGAAGCTGAGGCAGGAGGATCACCATGAGTTCGAGGCCAGCTTGGGCTACATAGTGAGACTTGGTCTCAAAACAAATAAATGAAGAACAAAGTGAAAAAGGAGGAGAGGGACCAGGGGTACAGTGTGGGCAGCGCAGCACCTGCCTGGCAAGCGCAAGGTCCTGAGCTCGTCCTGGTAACTGCAGCAGAGAACAAGGAGCAGCAGGAAGGAGGCAGAAAGCAATTGCTCCTCCTCACTTAAGCTTGGGCAGAGCAGTTGGCCTAAGCCTTAGGCCTCAGAAAGGGCCAGCCAAATAGCTCAGCGGATTAAAGCGCCTGTTTAGGTAGCTGCAGGGGCAGGGCAGGCTGGGAGTTTGATCCCTCCTGCTATGCCAGTCCTACCCCCGGAGACTGGGTTGGTGATGGGTGCCTGTCATCCCAGCCTGTGGGAGGCTGTAAAGAGGAGAGGCTATAAACAGGATCACTATGAGAGGCTGATCTGTGTAGTGAGACCCTGTAGACCCTGTCCTAAAATACAAAAAAAAAAAAAAAAAAGAAAGAAAGAGAAGGCCTGAGAAAGTTGGGGTTTGATTTCTCATATCGTACAAGGCTGGATAGCAAACTGGGTGTAGGTAGATTTGTTCATTGGAGTCTGCCTACCTCTGTGGCCGTACAGTTCTGGTGGCACTGGGGCAGGGAGACAAGGGCCTGGTCACCTCAGCTCTTCCCACTATGGTGTATCAGTGTGTGGCAGGTGCCTAGGCTGTGTGCCTTGGGGCAAACTGCAGAGAGGCCTCAGGTGACATAGACTCTCATTGAGGGGTGCATGGCCAGGAGTTGGGAAGCAGGCAACCATGGTGTCCAGTGACTTCTGGTGACTCAGGAAGGCTTCTTGGGGGAAGACAGTGCCATGTTGGGCCGGTGACACGTCAGTTGGGTTTCTGACTTGGCTAGAATGGGGCTGTGGTCCAGGGAGTACGTGGACAGAGGCCTGGGGGTCAGATGTGTTGCAGGGCTTGTGGGCAGGGTGCAGGTGTGGGCTGAGCGTATGGGCCTGGGTAGCTGGGACTCTGCCACGTCCAGTTGTGTGTATTGAGAGAGCTGTTGCCCGTGGACCCTGCGTGTGGCTGGCTTTGTTTCTTGCTTATTTAGCGCAAGTTTCCCTAAGACCCCCCCCCCCCATGCGGTGTGTGGTGGACAGGGCTGGGGACGAGGGGAGTCCAGCCCCACTCCTGCCCGTGGGTACAGAAGTGGGTACTGAGATGAGTTCAGGGCATCCCCCCGGCAAAGTCAGCTTGAAGAGCGGTGGCAGTAACGCAGGAGCAGAGGCCTTCCCAGCACGCCCCCCTGCCCCTCACTGCAGGGGAACCCTGGGTGTGTGTGGTTGGCTGATCAGTCAGTGGGAGGTTCCTGACCTGCAGCAAAGCAGGGGAACTGGGTTAGAGTTGGAGCTCTACTGACCAGCTTTGAGGCTGTGAACCCGAGATCAGGGTGCCAGCAGGGCACGCTCCTTCTGAAACCCCGAGAGGAAGGGTTCTTCCTTGTCTCTGTCCTCTGCTTGTGGCCTCAGCCGTGCCCTGCCTCACAGCAGTTGTCACCCAGTCTTCACAGGACCGCCCACCATCCTTCTCCCTCTGTTTGTGTCCGGCTTTTTCCAACTTGTCCCCTTCACAGATGCCAGTCTTTTTTTTTTTTTTTAAGAGAAGGTTCTACAGGGTGTTGAGGGACTCACTACTGGATCAGACTCATAGTGATTGTCTTGTTTACAGCCTCCCAAGTGCTGGGATTACAGGTGCGTGCCACCGCGCCCAGTCTCATTTGCCATCTTAGCACACCCCAGGGGCAGGGCAGCTAGCACTGCAGTTCTGGGGATCAAACCCCAGGCCCCTTGGCCTGCTTGCAGGTGCTTTAATCTGCTGAACTGTTTGGCTGGCCCTCACAGATGCCAGTCTTACTGGCCTGGGGTCCCTAGTGGCCTCAGCTTACTTATTTCAATGATCTTTTGGAAATCTTGGGCCGGGGAGATGGCTCAGTAGAATAAGTGCTTGCCTGGCAAGTGCAAGGGCCTGAGTTCAATCCCTGGCTCCGTAATCAATCAATCAATCTTATTTTCAGTAAGGTCACCCTGTGAGATGCTGAAGGTCAGGACCTCGGCCTGTTCTGGGGGGAGGGCATGTTTTAAGCTGTAGCACCGTGGGTGGGTAGAGGAGGCCCCATCACTGGCTGGGGAGGCTGGACAGCTTTAAAGAAGGTGCAGACAGCCCAAAGAGGAAGGGATGCCAGGAGGGTGGCTGGGTGGCCATCACACAAGCACTAGAATCACACAGGGGCCTAGGCTTGGGATCTCCTGTCCTATTAGGACAGAAAAGGGAGCTCAGCAGTGTCCCAGGGCATACTGTCTGCCTTCAGTAAGGGACAGGAAGGACACAGGCTCTCTGTGGGGGGGCTGGGCTGGGGTGAGGGCAGCAGTGCTGACTGCCTGGCCTCACACAGGTTCATGGGTGGCGGTGGTGAAAGCTGCAGCCTCATCGCAGAAGGCCTTAGCACAGCGCTGCAGCTCTTCGATGACTTTAAGAAGATGCGCGAGCAGATGTGAGTGTAGCCCCTTACCTGGTGCCACCTCACATCTCTTCTACCTGCTATGTGACTAACAGCGAGTCCCTGGGACCCTCAGTATTGTCAGTTGTAAAATGGAGCATAGCTCCTGACTTAACCGGGGTGCAGGGGGGAACCTCTGCTCTGCAAGGCCTGACTCCCTTCTTAGGGCCCTTCTGGGGTCCATTCCACGCCTTCTCTTGTCCCCGGCAGTGGCCAGACACACCGAGTTTGCCTGCTCATCTGCAACTCGCCACCATATCTGCTGCCTGCTGTCGAGAGTACCACATACTCGGGATATACAACCGAGAGCCTTGTGCAGGAGATTGGGGAGGTGAGGACCCCTGGTCTGAGGGAGGAGGCTGGGCCTGGACCCCCAGATCTGGGGGAGGAGAAGGCTAGAGCTGACATTGAAGGGTCTGTCTAGTTAAGAGTGAGTTGGGGGTCTGTACCCCTGGGTCTGAAAGAGGAAGGTGAGGATTTTGTGTTTAGCTCCTTAAGTTTGTCAAAATAGCCATGGCCTGGGTCCTGGGGACCTAGTCCCCAATCTCACCACTAGGGTGGCAGAATGGAAATCCCCTGCAGTGTCCAGGAGTGGGCCTCTGCTGACATCTGTCTCTTCTCTTGCAGCGTGGCATACACTTCTCCATCGTGTCCCCTCGGAAGCTGCCTGCCCTGCGGCTCCTGTTCGAGAAAGCTGCCCCCCCAGCTATGCTGGAGCCGTTGCAGCCGCCGGCAGATGTGAGCCAGGACCCCAGGCACATGGTCTTGGTGCGCGGGCTGGTGCTGCCTGGTGAGGCCTGGTGCGGTGCAGTGGGGCAGGACAGGCCACAGGTGTCTCCCTGATCTGTCTAACCTGGATTCTGGATTTTTTTCCCCTTTCTTCTCTTCTGCTGCTTTGGGTGCCTGGCCATTGTCCTGGTCTCAGTTGGAGGTGGCTCGGCCCCAGGCCCCCTCCAGCCCAAGCAGCAGGTGCCTCTACCACCTGCACCACCCTCTGGTGCCACACTCTCGGCCGCGCCCCAGCAGTCCCTGCCCCCTGTGCCTCCACAGTATCAGGTATTTATGTTACCAGGAAAAGACTTGGGCCTGGGCCTCGTAAAAGTTATCACCTTGTGCCAGAGACCTAACTGAGCACTGGGGCATGTGGGGTGAAGGAGTCTCTGGGGACAGGGTGGGGATGGCCATAGGCCTCGAGGAGCAAGGCAGGAGTATGAGGTGGTAGAGCAGGGTGCTGGCCCAGGCCCTAGCACTCCCCAGCCCTCCTCTCCAGGTCCCTGGGAACCTGAGCGCAGCGCAGGTCGCAGCGCAGAATGCAGTGGAGGCTGCCAAGAACCAGAAGGCTGGGCTGGGCCCACGGTGTGAGTGCCAGGGTGAGCGGTGGGGGGGTGGGTTCCGGAAGCACGGGGGTCCTTCTCTGTATGGCTCCCCTTGTTTCCTCTGTCTCTTGCAGTCTCGCCCATCAACCCTTTGCAGCAGGCTGCTTCAGGAGTGGGACCCCCTTTCAGCCAGGCCACACCCCCAACATTACCCACAGGGCCTCCTGGTGCCCCCAAGGCGCCTCCTGCCTCCCAACCCAACCTGGTCTCCACAGTGGTGCCCGGCCCGGGCCTGGCCCCTGCCGCACAGCCTGGGGCACCATCCATGGTAGGTGCATGTGTCCATCCCTTCTGGTTTTGGGCTGAGGACATAGAGCAGTGCCCTCCCAGGTTGGTGCAGCCTAGGGCAGGGGGTGCTGGGGCTCATGGGATGGGAGGGTTGGGGCAGATCTCAATGGTGAGGTTGTGAGGTCAGAGGATCCCAGGGAACCTGAGTGTCCAGGTATATCAGCCTGTGCCAGTCCTCGTGTCCTCCAGTGCTGGGACACAACGTTGTCTGGCTTTGCTTCCAGCTTTGCTGAGTAAAGCCCCTTCCACTCATTTTCCTCCTTCACAGGCAGGCACAGTGGCTCCAGGTGGCGTCAGTGGTCCTTCCCCAGCCCAGCTCGGGGCACCAGCCCTTGGTGGACAACAGTCCGTCTCTAACAAGCTCCTGGCTTGGAGCGGGGTGCTTGAGTGGCAGGAGGTGAGTGGGTCCCAGTGCATTGGGCAGGTGGAACCCAGGGCCTCACCCCACCATGGGTCTGTGGCTCAGGACCGAGGTGGGGCTAACAGTTGTGTTTCCTCATAAACTCCCGTAATCCCCACACTTGGGAGCCTGAGGGAGAAGGACCTCAACTTAGTGACTTAGCCCAGATCCTGTCTCAAGGAAGTAAAAGGGGAGGCGGGGGAGATGGCTCAGTAGAATAAGCGCTTTCCTGGCAAGTACAAGGGCCTGAGTTCAATACCCAGTTCCGCCAAAAAAAAAAGCACTTGGGGTCCAAATAGGGGTCCCTTGATGCTGGCCTCAGGGGCATAGTGGGCTTTGGGGTTCAGGGCCAGAGGGTCATCTTGAGTTTGGGGAAGGCCAGGAACAGGCAAGAGCAGGCCAAGGCTGGAGCCCTTCTCACCGTGACTCGGGTTCTTCCCCCTCAGAAGCCGAAGCCTGCCTCCGTGGATGCCAACACCAAGCTGACCCGGTCTCTGCCCTGCCAGGTCTACGTGAATCACGGAGAGAACCTGTAGGTGGCCTTCTGGGGCAGGGCGGGCTGGGGTCTGCTCGCTCCTGACCCCTGTCTTCATGTCACCCCCAGGAAGACGGAGCAGTGGCCACAGAAGCTGATCATGCAGCTCATCCCCCAGCAGCTGCTGGTGCGTACCCTCAGAAGCCCCTTCCGACCTTTGTGCTTCTCTGTCCCTGCCTACTCCACACACAGTGACCTTGGTGTTCCCATAGACCACCTTGGGCCCTCTGTTCCGGAATTCGAGGATGGTGCAGTTCCACTTTACCAACAAGGACCTGGAGTCCCTCAAAGGCCTCTATCGCATCATGGGCAATGGCTTTGTGAGTCTTGGGTGGGCGGCGTTGCCTCACACCACAGCTCCTGGGCTGCTTGCTTGGGAGGTTTCGTGAAGAGGGTAGGGATGGAACCCAGTGCCTTTGTCCCTGCCTGGGGCCACTTTGAGGGGTGACAGGCTTTAGGAGCCTGGGGACCTTGCTTTATGCTGTAGTGCTCGCCAGACTGAAGTATGCCCAGAGTGGTGTGACCACAGTGTGCAGAGCTGTGGGGAGGAAGCCGTCAGATTCCTGTGGGGATACTGTGGTGGGGCTGCCCAGCACACTGCTACAAACTGGGGGCTCAGAACAATAGAAACTCAGTCTCCTGAGGTTTGGGGGGACAGAAAACTGAGGTCAGAGCCCCAGTGCAGGTCTTTCACTGCCGCATCCCTCCCCTGGGCTGCTCTAGCCTCGCAGGCTGTGTGCCTGGGGTCCGTGTTATCACGTGGTGCCCTTTGGTGTTTGTCCACATCCCAGGATTGCCTCAAGGTGTCCACTTGGATACTGCCCTTTCCAGAGGGATAGACCACTGCGCTGGGCTCACAAGTGGGTGACCCCACATGGTCCTGTGGTCTGGCTCAGGGACTCTCTTGCCCATGGTCTTCAGGAAGCTCATACGGGGCCCTAGGGAGGCCCGGCAGTTCCCGCGCTTTGCTGCAGCTTTCGCCTCCTGGGCTTAGCGGTGGGTTCTGAAAGCGCATGTCCTCAGGGAAGCATCCCTGAGGGAGTATCCTGGGAGCCCTCCGGGAAGACAGAACAGGACCTGGAGAGGCCCACTGTTGGATTGCTCTTGCGGCTCCAGATGCCTCGGCCCTGCTTCTCCTGGCCTCTCCCAAGAGGTGGTTCCTGTGGCTGCAGGCACCAAGTGCATAGTGCTAACATTAGCAGAGGGAAGAGGCTCCACCGTGAACTTGCCATAACCCGTTCCGGAACTGCGCCAGGCACGCTGGGCTGCAGTGGTTTGGGCCCTGGGACCTGGATATGTCACTTCCCGAACAGCCAGGGCTCTTGGAAGGGGTGCTGGCGCATGGGTGCCAGGTAGGCAGCCAGAAGCTCTGCCTCCGACAGGAGATGTAAGGCTGAGAGAATAGAGGCCTTGGGCTGGGGAGATGGCTCAGCACTCTTAAGTGCCTGCCTGGGAAGCACAAGGAGTTCGTTACCCAGCACCACGTGCTGTGCTGGCCCCACTCCCGGGTGCGCTGAGACAGGTGTGGTGGCTCATGCCTTAATCCCAACGCTGAGGAGGCTAAAAAAGGCAAGGATCACTACAAATCTGATTTGCATAGTAAGACCCTGTACCAAATACATAAAAATAAATTTTAAAAAAGGGAGAATAGAGGCCTTGAGGTCACCACCCCATCCGTGCTACGAAGTGTAAGGTGACTGCATTGTCCACTGCGCATCCTGTGAGCGGAGCCTCAGGCAGGGCAGATGGTTATTACCTATTCTCTGCTTATAGGGCCCGTGATGTTGCTGCTTCCTTAGTTCACGAGGCCGACACTGGGCAGAGAGGATTGTGCAAAAGGGCGCTGCTGGTACTTGGTCTCAGGCCCACTATTCCTGTCAGTCGCATGCTCTTGAGCCCCTCTTAAGACTGTCCCTCCAGGGGGCCTCTCATAAGCAGCCCTGGCTCCTGGTGGCCAAGGAAATGAGACCCATGGGGTGGTAGTGCCAGTCAGGGTGGAAGGATGTGTGCAGAGCCATTGCTGGCTCTGTCCCTTGGCTGTCAGCAGGAGCCAGTCTTGCCCTGTGCTTTGGGTCTCTGACTACCTCTGAGCTCCATTTCCTGCTGGAGCAGCCCCAAAGCAGCTCTGCTCTCCTACAGTAGAAACCCCGCCGTTTCTGTGTGGGGCATCTGGAACCTTCTTTTTCTTTCTTTTTTTTTTTTGTATTTTAGAGAAGGGTCTACAGGGTGTTCAGGGTCTCACTACTAGATTGGACTGGTAGTGATTCGCCTATTCACAGCCTCCCAAGAGCTGGGATTACAGGCGCGCGCCAGGCTTGGGGATCAAACTCCTGGTCCCTGCACCTGCTTGCAGGTGCTTTAGTCCGCTGAGCTATTTGGCCGGCCCTGGAACCTTCTTGAATAGAAGCCACCTCCCTGGTGGGAAGACCTGAGGTTTCATCTGTCTGTCCATCTGCAGGCCGGCTGCGTGCACTTCCCCCATACAGCCCCCTGCGAGGTGCGCGTGCTCATGCTGCTGTACTCATCCAAGAAGAAGATCTTCATGGGCCTCATCCCCTATGACCAGAGCGGCTTTGTCAACGGCATCCGGCAGGTCATCACCAACCACAAGCAGGTCCAGCAGCAGAAACTGGAGCAGCAGCGTGGGGTGAGCCCCTTCCCCGCTGGCACCCACCCCTCCCCCTCCCCAGGATCAGCGTGCCCGCCCCTCCCACCTCTGACCTGCCCCTCTTTCCCCATGCAGATGGGTGGCCAGCAGGCACCCCCAGGCCTGGGCCCTATTCTGGAGGACCAAGCGAGGCCCTCGCAGAATCTGGTGAGGGCAGGGTGGGTGGGTCAGGGGCGACCATCTGTTTCTCTCCTGTTCTCTGAGGTGGAGGGGTGTGGGCCTCTGCTGGCTTCCTCACCCCATCTCTCTTCCCAACAGCTTCAGCTCCGACCACCACAATCCCAGCCGCAGGGCACTGTGGGGGCAGCTGGGGCTGCAGGACAGCCCCAGGCCCCAGGTACCACCCAGGCTCCCCCAGGTGCCCCCCAAGGTCCTCCTGGAGCTGCTCCTGGCCCACCCCCTCCTGGACCCATCCTTCGGCCGCAGAACCCTGGGGCCAATCCTCAGCTGCGGAGCCTGCTTCTCAACCCACCACCGGTGAGATATGGGGTAGAGCAGCTGGGAGCTAGAGGTCTGGCCCCAGTAGTTCTGATCTTTTTATCTGGGGGAGGGAGGTCAGCTTTGGTCAGTGGGTATGACAGACTCTCCCCCCAGGGCTCCCAGAAAAGCACACACCACATCCCACCCTCACCCCATGCTTATGGTGGCTTTTGTTGAGGTCCCCAAAGCGCAGCCAGAGACCTTACAAGAAGCCTCAGGCGGCAACAGGATAGTGGGTATGGCAGGGCTTCACCTTGGCCTCAGCCTCGCTCTGTGTTCCCCCAGCCCCAGACCGGGGTGCCCCCGCCCCAGGCCTCCCTCCACCACCTCCAGCCACCAGGGGCTCCTGCGCTGCTGCCCCCACCTCACCAGAGCTTGGGGCAGCCCCAGCTGGGGCCCCCACTCCTGCACCCGCCACCTGCTCAGTCCTGGCCCGCCCAGCTTCCCCCACGAGCTCCGATGCCAGGTAAGGGAGCTCCAGCAGTGGGCAGGCGGCTGGGCAAAAGTGCCATGGTCAAGGGGTCTCGCTGAGGCCCTCAGGGGACTCTGTGGGCTACTGGGAAGCACCTTCCACAGGGTCAAGGACCTAAAGGGTGAGAATTCTTCCTGTGATCCTTTCCTACACATTGTGGGCATGCTGGAAAATACAGTCTGGGGCCAGAGAGCTAGTGTGGGGTAAGGGCTCCCAAAGGCTCATGGGAATTATTGTCAGCCAGTGGGGTCAGTAGGCACCTCTGAGGGGACCCTGGGCTTCCTGAGGAGTGGAGTGCTGCAGGCTCTCAGCGGAGGGAAGAAGCAAGCCCAGGGCCCTCCATGGGCCCAGGGACTACTGGGAGATGCAGTCCTTCCCACTGCCCCCCAGGTCAGATGCTGCTGAGCGGGGGTCCCCGGGGCCCGGTCCCCCAGCCGGGCCTGCAGCCCAGCGTCATGGAGGACGACATCCTCATGGATCTCATCTGAATCCCCAGCACCCAATAAAGTTCCTTTTAACACACGCCCGGCTCCCGTCACTGACATCCCCCAGGACTGGGCAGGAGGATACCTGGTCATCTGTTCTTGCAGTTGCTTCTGCAGACTTTCCCAACATGTTGAGTCAGGCCATGTGGTGCAGCTGGCTCTCTGGCTCTCGGAGAGATGTGGAGGCAGGCAGGTGTCAGGTGGCAGCAGGACCAGTGCACTCTTAAGCTACAGAGACCTAGGGACCTAGGAAGGGCATCAGATCAAGCCAGACTGCAGAGTCTTGAGAGAGAAGCAGCGATTCACGGGGTCAGGAACTCTACCCAGGAGCAGAAAGGGACCTAGTGCCTGAGGAGAAGACTAGGGGCAGTGCCCAGTAGCTGGGGCAGCTGGAGCTGGAGAGCTGGACAGGTGCCACATCCCTGCCTGGCAGTGCAGGGCTTGGCCCATGGCTGCAGGACTGTGGAACCATGAGCTGTGGGCTAGTCTGGGTGATGGTAGGAGTGCCAGCGGCCCAGGGGATTTCAAGGTGACAGGTGCCATATTGGACATGACCTTAGGGACAGTGTATGTTTGGTTGAAGCCATAGGAGTGGATGAGGTGCCCACTAAGAGTGCAGACTCTGGGCCCTTGCTGGAGATGACCTTTCTGGGGCTGTGGGCAAGGTGAACAGTGGCCATCCCGGAGGGAAGACCTTGCAGCGAATGGGGTCAGTGAGATAAGGACCCTTGGGGTTGTCCTTCAAAATGGTGCAGGCAGTGGCCTGGGTGCGGGGCAAGGGTCACTCAGGGTGGTCCACACCTGGACCACTGCCCTCCAGGCTTGGGACGCTGGGCCACAGGCTCATCCCAGGAGAGAGGTTGCAATTTGGTGGCCTGTGGGCCACTCTGCAGGTGAGTTTTGTTTGGCCTTCCCTGTGTTAGCATATGTGGTCCTCTTTGCTTATGAGGTAGTTGTGCAAATCGGGTTAATTCACGCACACGCAGAGAGACGCACACTGCAGTCTGCTCTTAACAGTCGGAAGATCTGGCTCCCGGGCCTGCCCTATACCTGGCCCCGAGGGCCGGAGCCGCCCTTCTGGCGGGGCATGTGCTCTCCGTCCGGTTCGCCACAGACCCTACCACCCCCTCCCACTCCCCCACCGCCTTGGCACGGGGCTGGCACTGTGGTTGCTCCTTGGTAGCGTTCAGAGACAAGTGAAATCTTTCTTGTACCCATGTCTCTACCAAAAGCGACAAAACGAAAGAGAGAAGGAGAGGGCCGTGTGTTTCAAGAAAAATGGGAGCGAGACTATTTCTTTGTGGAAGTGAAGAGCATGCCTACGTGTCTAATATGCAAAAAAATCGTGTCTGTGTTCAAAGAGTACAACTTGAAGCGCCACTATGAGTCCAGGCACAGCAAGAGCTACAACCAGTACACAGAGCAGACCCGGGACGCCATCCTCAAGGAACTGAAAAAGGGCCTTAAGTGTCAGTAGGGCTCACTGTGCAGAGGAGGAAGAGCTGCACAAAGAACCGCCTGGGCGTTCTGCCCTGCAGTGGAGTGGCGTGAGCTCGTGCAGGAGCAGTATTTGTTGGTGTCCTGAACAGACGCGGCCGGACCATGAGCCCAAGGGCATTTGCGTCTGGGGTGATTTGAAGACAAACCAGAGGCTTTACAAATCCAGTTGCCTGAGAGTCGAATCAGTTGTGGCCTTTTCTTTCGCTGCTCATGAACTCTTTCCACCCGGTTAGCTTTATTTATTTGTGGTGTTGAAAATTTCAGTGTGACTGAAGAAGGCTGTGGCGTGGTGCCGAGCAGGCCTGACTGTATGGAGAGAACAGTTTCACACACACCGCGCAACTCGTAAGCACAACTACAGACACTTGCAGTGACCCGTCGGGGGTTAGTACATGTACCTCCATCCAAAGCAGCAGTGTTTGGCAGGGACAGAGGAGTGTCGCCCTAGTGGATCTGAGACGCCCGATGGACACCTTTTCGCTAAGCTCCTTCGAGTTGATGTGGGCAAGTTGGTAGTGGCTTGAACCAAGAGCCAGTTCCCTGAGGTGGCCCAGGGCTTTGGATATTGAACGCAGCTCCTCAGTGACAGCCACAAGCTGCCCCGAGAGTGTGTGATCACGGTGGCCCGGGCGGGCAAGAGACAGGAATGCACTCCCCAGGCAGAAGCGACTCCTGTCCCTTTGCTGCATTTGATTTTGAGAAGTGAGCGTGGTGGCCTGGACCTTAGTCACCCAGATGGTGGGCTCAGAGGCCAAATCCCCCAACTCCCTGCACCCACTTTCTAGGACAATGAAGTCATAATGTCCCGTTTACCCTTGTCGGTTTGCGTTGCTATCTCTGTGACTGCAGACCGCAGGAGATGAACTGCAAGGCCTGGAGGGCGCCGGTCCTACAGGCAGATCTTTGGGAAGATGGTGAGACGCAGACCGCCCCGGTAGTTGTGTCCGCGTCTGGGGCACCCGTGCCGTGTGAACGGCCAGCTGCTCTTGTGAGGAACCTGGATCAAGCCGACCTGCTGGACCCGCCCTGCAAAACTTGACCCTGATGTCTCGATGTGGAAGGGAAGTCGTCTGCCTTCCCGCCTCAACTCAAAGGAGCAAAAGAATTATGAAAGAGAAAAAAATTTTAATATTTCTATTTTTCAATTTGTATTTTTTCAATTTTGAATTTAAAAGTATAAACTCCAGTATCCTACATGTTTGTATTCTGTTCCATGCATTCACCGTAGTTGAGTAAAGATCCAATTTGATTATATTTCTGGCCGTGGACTTTTCTTCTATCTGACTAGTTCACTTATTTCTACGGCCCACCTGGCCCTTGGAGGCAAGTGAGTTTCTGTCCCTGCCCTCAACTGTCACTGCCACATCCGGGGCCCCCAGGGGGCTGGGGATCCATCCTGCCAACAAGCTGAGGCTCAGGAGATGGACTAGGGCCGGCGGTGGTAGCTGGAGATGGAAGGTGGGGAGATTGCCCAGGCAGCCTGTGTAGCAGGGGTTTCTGACACTCAGAGGACTTCAGGGACCAGGCAGATGATGAGCATGCGTGAAACGCACACATGTGAAGCAGTAGGGCCCGATGGGGACTGTGGCGAACTTGGAGAGTGCTTGCCCCGCCTAATGGCCTTCAAATTAACACCCAAAACACTGTGAGGACCAAACAAACTCTGCTGATGGGTCCCATGAGGCTGCCGGCCACCATTTTGTGACCTCTGGAAGAGAAGACCCCAGAACAAGGCCAGAGCCCTGAGAAAGACTTCCCCCAACCCCAGTGAGGAGTGGGAAGGAAAACCAGGCAAGTGTGGTGTCGTGGAAGCTGAGTGGTTTTCTGAGGAGGGAGTGATCACTGTGTCCCACGCTGGCAAAGGGGAGAAGATGCGGGGTGGGAGGCAGTCTGTGCTGCCCCCTTGGGGAGGGTGTCCCCCACAGGGAAATCTGGGTATGGGTCCAAAACAAATCGGTAGAAATGTTTCCAGTCACCAGGTTTCCTGTCTCTGGCCAGTGGGGTGTCCCTGCTGTGACATCCGGTTAGATGAAGCACAGAGAGTTCTGCGGCCCAGTCACACTGCGCGTGCCCAGAGTGAGGAGACCAGCCTGCAGGCAGAACCATTTTCCCAGCGCCCCTAAGAATGAGAGCACTGGCAGAACAGCTCTTGGGAGGAGGCTTCCCTCTGAACACAGGGTCCCCTTGGAACTGTGCCCAGCACCCCTGAGCCCCTGGGCAGGTCCCTGCCCATCCTGACACAGTGACTAAGAGTGCTGGTGCTGTGGCCACCGGCCAGAACACCCTGGGGAGCAGAACAAGGTGGGTCAGACCTCATCTACCTGCTTCTCGGCTGCAGAGCGCCAGTGTGTTGTCTCCGTTCTTGAAACTGGCCCGGGGCAGGAGGAAGGACTCAGGCAGTGCGTCTGCTGCCGTCCCCAGCGTGGGGAGTGGGTGACACACTACACACTGACTATGGGTGAGGAATACGTGTACGTGTGCGTGGGGGGTGGCAGCGTAGGTGCCCTCAGTGACGGGTGCGCAGAGCCCGTGAGCCTCACGGTTTTCAGTCACCCTGCATTGCTGGTTTTGGGGTAGATCTGTGACAAATGAGACATGGGTGACCCTGGGATGCTTCCTTCCTCCAGATTAACAAATTTGGATAGGAGTTAAAGGCAGAATATAAATAAGGACATCTGTGCTGGGCAGGTCTGGTTCTTTTTCTCCCCTAGTATTAGGGATGAGCCCAGGGCCCTCACACTGAGCCTCATCTACATCCCAATCCCTTTATTTTTTTTATTTTTTTATTTTTTTATGTACTTAATACAGGGTCTCACTACACAGATTGGACTCATAGTGACCCTCCTGTTCTCAGCCTCCCAAGCACTGGGATTACAGGCACATGCTACCATGCCGAGTCTCAGTCGCTGTCTTAGTGCACCCCAGGGGTGGGGCTGGCAGGGCACACTGGGGATCAAACCCTGGTGCCTGCGCCTGCCTAAGCAGGTGCTTTATTTAATCTAGCTGGTCCTCTCATTTTGGCAGAATCGGGGATTGAATTTAGGCTTTTATGCTTGCCAGGGAAGCACTTATTCCACTGAGCCATCTCCCCAGCCCCCTCCCATTCCCTTTTTAAAAGTTTATTTGAGGGGCTGGGGAGATGGCTCAGTGGTCTAAAGCACCTACTTGGAACAAGCTTAGCAAAGCACAGGGACCGCGGTTCGATCCCCAGCACCACATGCCAGCCAGCCCGCCCCCTGGTGGGCTGAGCTGGCCACACACACACACACACACACACACAAATAAAATAAAAAATAAATAAAATAAAGTTTATTTGAGTCAATCTCACTATGCCACCAAATAAATTGCTCAGGCTGGGCTTGCATTTGTGATTCTCCTGCCCCAGCCTCCCAAAATGCTGGGATGGTAGGTGCTTGCCACCACACCTGGCCCAGTTCTTCCTTTTAATAAACTCAGACTGAAAGTTGAGTAATAAATGCTGGGTAAGCAAGATGGAGGGAAGTGGGTGCAAAGCGGCCCGGCTCGCCTGAGACATGCATGCCAAGCCCCAGCCGCGCTGCTGGGTGCAGCCAGAGTGAATTTCTCATGCTGCCTGCAACCTCAGTGGTGAGAGACCTTGAATGTTGCCAAGCGACCGAGGAAAGGCAGAGTGGCTGGCCTCCCTCCCCACCCCCACAATGAGATGTTTCAGGCTAAATTCACATAATCCCACACTCATGGCCAGAAGTAGTTGCAGGGCTCTACTTAACCACAGTGGAATTGGTCACTGGACAACGGAGGTGCTAGAATTATATGGCAAATGACACAAGTGACTTTTTTTTTTTTTTTTTTTAGAAGGTGTCTGCTGCTCGGGCTGGCCTTGAGCTCACTTTGCAGCCCGGGCTGGTCTTAACTCGCAGCAATCTGCCTCAGCTGCTCACATGCTGGGGTTACAGGTGTGTGCCACCATGCTGGACACAAATGACTATTTTAAAAGTTTTTTTTTTTTTTTTAGGAGCTGGGGAGATAGCTCAGTGGTCTAAGCACCTGTCTGGCAAGCGCAAGGACCCAGGTTCAGTCCGTGGTACCACGTGCCCTGTCAGGCCATGCCATGCTGTGCCGTGCTGGTTTGAGGCCAGATGTGGCTCATGCCTGTAATCTCAGCACTGGGGAACCTAAAACAGGAGGATCACCACCAGTCTTGGGCTGCATAGCAAGACCCTGTACCAAATAAATGATTAAAAACCCAAAACACTTAAAAAAATGTATTTGGTTGTTGCAGGGTCTCACTATACAGCTTGGACTTGTGATCCTGCTTTCAGCCTCCCCAGGGATGGGATTACAGGTGTGAACCCCGACTCCCTGATTCTGGCTCGCTCTTTCGCTTGCCTAAATTTGTGTAAACAGGCACTTTAGTCTGCTGAGCTGTCTCCCCCCACCACACACACACACTTTTTTTTTGAGAAAGGGTCTTGCTTTGTAGTTCAGGCTGGGCTCAAAGTCACAGTGAGCCTCCTGCCTCAGCCTCCCATGTGCTTGGACTAGAGGCCCATGCCTCCATCCCCAGCACTTTCAATACTTTACATGCCTCCATGAAGCACACCTGCACACATTCCTATTAGAACCAAGACCTTTTCTTTCAGTGTTGACCAGAGTCAGCATGCATCATTTTCTTTATAAAAATTATACCAGGTGAGTGACCTCACTTTTTAAAGTTTTAAGTGCTTGGGAACGCAAGGACACTTGGGGAAAAGCTGAGGGTTGCGCCCCCTGGGTGTTTGGTTGTTTTTTCCCACTCTAGGTTTTGAGCCTTTTCATTCTTTCCTTCGCAGTGGCTCTGCTTGCACTTCACCTGGCAGCTTTGTTCTTTCACCTCCTGCCGCCTCTCCAGCACAGGCAACCTGCGTTGCCTGCGTAGCACCTCTCTCGCATTAGGATTCCATCAGTCGGGTCCTGGTTTAATGTATTCACTTGAGGGCACCTGGCATAAGCAGGCTTGGGAACCTGCGCCCCCTCTCAGGTGTGCAGACTGGCAGGTGCAAGCTACTTAGTCACGGCAGCAGCTGCTGGCCGAAGCAGCAAGTGGTGCCTACCCCTGAGACCAGAGTGGCTTTCACCTTGGCAGACAGAGGGGCACTGGCTTCAGGGACTGTCCTTGAGTGTGACTGATAATTCATTTTCTTTTTGGTACCAGAAATTGAACTCAGGACTTTGTGCTTGCCAGGCAGG